TGCACATCAACCATAGGCTAGTCTATCTGCATCTATTGTATTAAATGTGTAAGTATATCGCGGACACGATTACGGAGTATGTATACTTTAGTTATACTACTACATGTAGTAAAAACGCCTAGTTGATGTATGGGATATACAGCTAATGCTTCTACTAATGTGGGCGTCGTGTCTAGCGCGAGAGGAGTCTTGCATTGGTACCATGCGGCTGAGATATACACCGAATCTGCGTGGGTGAAAAGGTAGAAGCTGAAGCTACGCCCCCCTCCCCGTATGTAGTTAGATAGGCGGACTCGGATCCGAATCGGAAGGCCGAGAGGAGTTACGGGGTGTTCCCAGATGGGACATAGTTGATTATTAATTCTTATTTTTCCCTGACAAATTTCCCACCCTATGGATTCTAAGGTTCAAAGGAGAATAGCCAAGAGATAGTTCGTTGGAGATTACCCGAGACCCATGATCTGATGTTGCAACACTGGCGCCCGGCTTTTACGCCTTTAGCGGGCCCCAACTGCCAACTGCCAACAGCGCACAGCCAACAACAGCCAACACTTTGCGGCATTACCGGGGGTTTCGGGATGGTCGCTCTTGCATGCAGGAGGTCACTGTCAGGTGTTCTCACGCCAATGCAGGATTCTCAATGCGCTCAGCACTTGTTTTTAGTGCAATCGGTAGCTTGTTAGTTTGTTGGCTAGTTGGCTAGTTGGTTAGTTGTATAGGTATTATGTACTCCGTAGCCAACAATGTAACCAATGTACGGAGTACAACGTGCATGCTCCACTAATCCAGATTAAGCACTATCCTGCGGTCTTAAACGCTCAAGGCCAGTAAAAGTATCATGCCACGCGTTCTTAGATCTGACAGTTCGGCGTAGTTCGGAGGATCGACTCCGATCCAAAGTTCGCTTCGAAAACTATGTGAGCCTCAATAAGCCCGATCCATGGTTGGAAGATGAGGGGGTTTTGAGACCTGAGGTCCGAGTAGGAATTATCCCTAGCTAGAAAATATTTGGAATCAGAATCTCCTCGGAGATGTACCAGGCAATATCGGTATCATTGTAAACCGACTTCCACATGCATCAAGGGGGATTGCCTACTTCTACAGAGTACAGATAGAATTACAGATTGGAGAACGTTTTGTCTTGTCCGTTGCGGGGGAAGAGGAAATCTACGTATCCCCCCTTCCTCTCTAGGCAACGATTCTACCCGCTCTGAGATTGTGATTGTGGGTTCCCCCGAGTGTTGCGCAGTCACTGCGCGTCTCCGGTCCAGGGCCTATCCAAGACATGTTGGATCCTGATATCCCTACCATGCAGCATCCATGGTGCATTTTTCGGAAATTTGCGCATCAAACGAGTCATTTTTACCCTTGTCGGGATTACCCCGTTTCAAATGTGGGAATTGGAGATTTTCAGGAAATGAGCTCGAGAGTACTCCGTAGAGTCCAGAACTAAATGGGATTCTAGATCGAGGTCGAAAAAGGCCCCCAATTAAACTACAATCATATCTACGGAGTAACAACATGCACAAGCAATCTCGGATAACATAATAAGAAACTGGCACCCGATATTACCGAATTAATTGCGTGCTTTGGTCGTGGGGCAATCGGCGGCTATCGCTAACGTTTAGCAACAGGACATAGCGTTCTTAGGTTGCTGACTTGGGCCAGCTGCAGAAAGACCTGGAGAAACAGACAAGAATTTGGAATTCAGAATCCCTGCATATACTAGGTTCTCATAATTGAGGAGCTATAAACAAAGGAAACTAAAATAATAATAATAATAATGACAAAGAGAGAAAAAGTACAAAAAAAAAGGGAGTTTCGACACATCTGATCTACGCGGCTCAGACAAAGAAAAAGAAAATATGAAATCATCAGATATTTAATGATAGGAGAAGATAATTGGTTAGATACATATGAATTTTGGACCAATCTGCCCACGTTCTGAATTTTAAATGAAATTTAAAATTAAAAATATATCAATTTCATTTTTTATTATTATTTTAGTTTGGACGCCCTAACTGATGGTTGGCCGTTAAGAGTGCTAGGACATGCCAATCATGCACAACATGACTCGCGCGAATGTGACGATAATTAAACTTGAAAATTACCATGTTCTTTTGCTGCAACCGTGGATTGAGCACCGGCGATATGTCACTATTCAGGAAGGAGATGATCACTGGGTCGCAGGCGGGGGGGTCAAGCGCGATGCATAGTATGTGCATATACGGCTTTAGTGTACCACTTTTGCTACGTTGTCTGATGGGGATCCAAAAAAGTAAATATGAGGGAAAATGTAACCACTGGGACTAGTATTGGACTAAAACCATTATAATACCACTATAACCTCACGTGATTGAAACGGGCTGCGGCTACGCGACTGACGAACGCCAGAGGTATTGTGATTGGACTTGGTGGAGAGCGGCAGACAAAGAAACCAGAGTGGGGGAGGAGGGGGGGAAGGCTGGTTTTAGTCCCGGGGGGAGCCATGTTGATCCGATCTGCACGGAATCGGGGCTTCAGGGACTAGGATTGTCTGTGAGGAGAGGCTTGCCAAGGGGGGGTCTCGGAAATAACGGGCCATACAGAATGGGTGGACGACGCCCTAATTGAGTATGGATTTCACGCTTGCGCAAGTTGACTGCGCCGCAGAGATACGATCACAACGCTTCTGCCTTTGCTTGTCTTGTTCGTTTCTGGCCAATTTGAGGAGATTGCGTGGATTAATGTCTCCGAGTGATTAGAACATATTTATATACCTGATACAATAACTATACTTGGGAATACCTAGGAATACTTAGGAATACTTAGGAATACTCATGAATACCTACATAGATCCTATATTATACACTTTTATTTTTTTAAAAATTTTTTTTAAATAAAATAGTCTAAACGGTAAAACCGTGAAGAAAATCCAAGGAAACCGTTGGCGGCTGCAGATGACTGACGATCGACCTGGTCAAGGCGCAGATCGAGGGCAAAAATGGCGCAGAGGAAAAATATTATCACGCGAGTAACATCATATGTAGTAAACAGGGGCGGGTCCAGAAGTGGACATGTATCGGCACGGATTTGATATTCTGTTTGAGGCAATGCAAGTTGACTGCGCGGGAAATCCGCTCTCTGTATCGGCTGCTGCCGAGTTGACGCTGGAGCCCATTATTGGATCTCCCCAATTCCCCCCGCGTCCGGTGTTTGGAACAAAAAAACAAACCATGGTTCGGTATATCTTGGTCAAGATATGTGATAAGAACAAGTACATAAGGTATAAGGTAATTATGTATAAGAATCTCGAAAGCGCCGTAAAAGGCCCTGAAGAGGATAGTAGAGAGGGAAAACTATGTGCTACGGTCAAAGATCTCATCCCTCTTACCTCATAATGCGCCTGGCAACCTGGGAAAGACAGATGTGTTGGCAGTGCCAAATTGAGCTTGCATTAGCTCCTCACGCTCATTCGTCCTGGCATCCCAGGGCCATGGCGTACGTCGCAACAGATGACTTTTGCGTCTACCAATAGACGCCGCGCGTTTGTGTTGGTTTTTTTTTCTTCTCTTTAATTTCTGCACTCTCCCCCCCTTCCCTTCCCACATCCATGACCCTCGAAAAAAAAAAGAAATGGAAGTAAAAAAAAACTAAAAGAAAAACATAGTCAACACACCTGACTGTATCAATTAGTCTATCCACTTCTCACATGAACGGGTACTTAGTAGCGTTGGACAGCGCAAATGAAACACTGTCACTAAAACAGATAATGCACACACGATTTCATTTCTCCATTTCTCCATTTTCTCCATTTCTTCGTCTGTTTATTTCTATTTCTGTTTTTATTTTTATATTAACTCATATGTGTCCCCAAAGTTGAATCTCAATCGAGCCTATCACCTAACCGCTCATGCAGTAGCAAGGCTGCATCCTGTACAGAGAGAAAGAATTGATGGGAAATCGTTCATTTACCCTCGAATGTTCTCGGGTAACTACGTTTTGATATTCGACAGCAAACCAAATCCGGGATTTGTCATTCATAAACTTCGCCTTGGCGCTAAGATTGCAAAAGGCTAAAGGTAAATTGTAATTTTGGTTACCGCGTGGCCCCCGTTTTTTTGTAACTTGCATATATACAATACACGAAATGAAAAAAAAAGAAAGGAAAAAAAGAAAAGCAAAATTAGAAGATCGTCCAGATTGTGTCATAAAGCTAGAGGAGCTATCAACGGTATAGCCAAAATTGCCGCCAAACTTTACTTTACAAAGAAAAAGAAGGACTCGAAATAAAAGAAAATAAAAATGTAGGAATCGGAGTAGACCGATGCCATTGCCACAGCAAAAGATATCACATTAAATTCGTGGCGAAAATAATAATATTAATCACCCTCCATACGGTCTCTCCACTAACACCGAACACGGAGTAACAGTCCGGTTCACCGGTCCATTTAATTCCCTTTATTATTATTTTAATATTTATACATTATATATATTATATTTTATTATTTCGAATAGCAGTCTCTCTGGGGGTGGAACCGAACCTCCAAAAAAAAAGGACCCCTGTTAGCCCAGGAGCCTTGTGTATCCGCGGTACACAACTATACAGGGGGCCAAAGGAACACAACCAGACCCAGGCAGTCGGTCCAGTGCACCCAACAGCGCTGTTAGTCTGAGAACTATTTTATTTATTTTTTTGGGGGAATTTCGGAATCCTTTTTTTTTGCTCTCATTTAAGACCGAGTTGTATTCCAGTATCTTTTCTTTTTTCTAGAGTTCCGAGATCTATAAACCTTGCCCGTTACCCCAAAGGCATATTATACTTCCTTACTTTCTGTACTTCACATCATCCATTGGCTCTCTGATATAGAACCTCTATATCCCCACATCTATTATCAGACCTGGTCTGAGCATTCGGAGGGTTCCAAAGCTTGGTCTCTATAAATTTCATCTTCAGCCAAAACTTCCTACGTACTGGCAACAACCCAAAAAACCCCCCCAAAAAACCCATGATCTCCAAAATGGCAACACACACAGAATCATACTCAACACTGCCATCAGCTCGTCAAAGCAAAATGAAAATCGACGCCTTACTCAACCCAGGCGATGGAGAAATCTCTCCACGAACTCAACACGCCTCAATCCCACCATCCCACCGCCACAGCTATCACCAGCAACCCTCACCAAGCTTCCCTCCAAGCCCAAACTACTGGTACAACCGCTCTTATCACGACACCAGCTCAGGCGCACTCTCAAGCACAACAACAACCACCACCCAGAGCACTAGCACAAACGCCAGTCACCACAGTGTAAACCCTTCTCAATCCCACCAGATGTTCTTCACCTACCGCCCCTCAAACAGCGCAAACGCACACCGCGCAAGCGCAAGCACAAACCAAAGCTCGTTGTCCGCGCCCTCTTCGCCGGACCCTTACCATCCCCGCGAGCGCTACTCAAGCGTCTCGAGTTCGTCTTCGACGAACGGCGACCGTCGTCGTCCTCCCCGTCCAAAGTACGAGGAAGAGGAAATGTACTTCATCTGGTACCACCGTGTCGATCTGTGTCAGGAGTGGAAGGAGGTCCGGGAGGCTTTCAATCGCCAGTTCCCGGACCGTCAGAGACGTGGCTTCCAGGGTATCCAGTGCAAGTTTTATCGCTTCATTAAGGAGAAGAAGTGTCCGACTCTGCGTGAGCAGAGGCGGATGCGGGATGGGGAGTTCCTGAGAGAAGGGGCTTCGGCTGCGCTTGCTGGGGATCATGGAGCAGCGCCCAAGTTTGGGGTTAGGGAATATACTAATGTTTGGTATCCTTGGATGAGGAAGGAAGGGGATGTTGCGTTGCGACGGTGATTTTGTCTTTTCTTTATTTTGGGGATATGTTGGGATATGTTTTTTTTTTTGGGAGGTCAATTTGTGTTCTACTGTCTATGTTTTTGCGTGGGTCGGTCTTCGTCTTTATTTAAGATACCTTCTGTTCAGCGTGGGAGGTCTGCTTGTCTTTTTGATGTTCTCTCGTTGTTCAAATCTTCCACCGGGGTTCCTGTCTTTTCGTTGTCTTTTGACACTCTCACTTCCTACACCCTTTCAACCTTGGAAGTTTGTTTTCTTGGGTATAATATCTACAATACGCCGTATGGAGCAATCCATACCTGTGAGAATCACATTCAGATTTAGATCTAGATATTATGATACTATAAAGATTCGTTGAATTCGAAATTAAAATCATTCCCTTTCTAGTCAGATATTCGGTATGACGAATCACACATAATCTCTGCATTATTGTTCAACCACATCCACATCCCCAGATAATAACCCTTGCTTTTCTTGTCCTTGAAGTATGCATCTATGCATTCCAAATCTTGACGCACATGGTCCCTTCCTCACCTTCGATATTTGGCTCAGCCCGGGCCTCATCTGGCCTCCCAACTCAGGAAGGATAGCCGGAGGAACCGTTGAGTTCAACCCGTTGAGATCATGGATTATAGATCATAGATCATACATATCATACATATCATACCAAGCATCGCATCTGCTTGGTATTTGTTACATATGCAGCACCAACCACCCACAGCCATTGTGTGATTCCCACTAGAACAAAAGAATATTTTATTTTGAATTCCGAACTCCGTTCTCTGTACGGAATTCAACCCGCTAATCAGCACAGCCGGCCGGACCGTACTAAGAAAAGAACTTATTTATCCACAGCTCGGCCAATCCATCAGATCCGTCGATCGTGGGGGTCCTGATCCTTCACGCCATATTTCGTCTAAGTGCTCCATATCCGTACTAAGTACTCCGTATGAAGATCAGGTTCTATGGATTCTCTCCGTGCGAGCTTGACCATTTCTACTACATTAAGGGGGTGGGTACTTTTATTTTATTTTTTGCAACACCCTCGTATTCTCTTTCCTATCTCCATTCTTCGACTTACAGAGTATGCAAGAACGCAAGAACGGCAGAGCAATGTACCTGTATGGATTAGTACTTCCCATTGGAGCTTTCCAAAACCGAGGCTACAGGCATGCTAGGGGCTTAGGCTAAAGGATTGTATTGTTAGTTCATGGTTCGTGGTTCATTGGTACTTATGTACAGTTCAATATATACATTGGGGGCTAGTTGTCATGCTTTTAACCGGATAATCAGGGGTGTTGTTTGATATAGAGTGAGTTGTTACTCCATAGACAACCAATATATAGATACCTATTAAGGAGAATCATACTCCGCACGGAATACTAGATTGTAGAATCTATACATGTTCTAATAGTTTATATTCTCGGCGACGAGTCTAGCAATAATAGACAGACTAAAACAGAATTGACGTGTCGCACTTCGGCATTTGCTTTCTTTGCTTTTGTTTTTTGGCGATTGTCTCCTTTTTGATCTTATCTACTTATTTTCCTAGTTCGATAACTATGGATTGTAAAATAGAGATCGTCGAAAAACGAAGAAAAGAAAACATGAATGTAAATGGGGCCAATCCTGCCAATTCCTAGCGTGTCCAGTTTCAGGGATGCACCTGTGGGCTCCATGAGTCCTTTTTTTTTTTTTTTCTTTTCACTCTCTGACAGAAAGATAACTTCCGATCCGATGTCTCAGCCTCATTGTTTTTGGAGATTGTTGGATGGTTGGTGGGTGTTATTCCGGGCTGTGGGGCTACGAACGCAATAAGGGGGCCGATATGTAAGTGAGGCGTGTTGAGTATGTTGTAAATGCGCCCATAGGAAATGCAAAAATGTGTTATTATGTGTACTAACGGTCTATAATGGAGAATCTATGAATTGCCGAGGTATTGATATTTAGATAGTATGATAGTATGTTGTACCTGAGGTGATTGGTGGCTTTCCAGGGGAAAATTCAGGCGGAAATGTACTTGGGGCTATTGTATGTTTTGTATTATACCGAGGTACGATCTAGCTGTTTCAAGCGAATTGTGGATTTATGGGTTTTTTCATTCGATTGCAACATTTCCACACTCGGTGTAGAAGTATAGAAGTGTAGAAAAAAAAAAGACTAGGCTCTGCATTATAGAAGTGGTACAGCCTATTGTGTGACAGTGCTGCGACACAGGAACCAATTCGAACGGAGTAATACTGCATATGGGGCAATTTGCATGTATGTTTCAAAGGTTGAACTGGCCTGGATTGGCACTCTAGTACAGCAAAGTGGTGTATAATGTATAATGTATATTGTTTATTGTACTCTGCATACGGAGTACATACTAATATACTACAATACCAATCCATCCCAGAAAAAAAATAAAATTTAGACAATTCGAAAGCTATCCACCTCGGTTCGACATCCCCGGCACTACAATTCGCACTAAATTCCCAAAACTCCACAATAAGCTCCAATCGACCACTATCCATCTTTCGCACTGTCGAATTCCATCAGCACTAATATGGAAAGAGCAAGAGGGGCACTACAAATGCCGATATAGTTTGTGACTAATCTAATTTCATTCGGCCAATTAAGTAGGGCTTATTATGTATATGCTTCTTTGGCGCAATTGAGTTCTTTGGTGTCGGATATTTTCCTGAGACGGCATTGAGGTTGTGCGAGAGTGTACTGCGTAGGGATCTAGGTGGTACGGCTAAGGTTGTGTCCACAGGTGTATGTCGGGCTGTGGGCATTGTCATGGTTGACCTGCATGTCGATGTTGGATTGCTCCTGTAGCGGCTGCTGTACACCGTGTATGGTGGGGTGGAGGGGTTGGGTTCTACAATATCTGGTGGCTCCTGTGTTCCCATCAAATCCTCAATTGAATGTTAACTTGTATTTCATTGATTGGGCTACGCTAGATAGAATCAGGTCCTAACAAAAGGAAGAATCACTAACTGAAGACCCATCGAAAACAAATAGGAAGATCTGAATTCAGAAGTGATAGCTTTTAGCTCCCTATCTCCTTCACTGTGATCAAATCAAATAGTCAAAATGACTATCGACACCGCCGGGGCTGTCGATGAATATGGAGTTCATATCCAACTACTCCACGGCGAGGATTGCAGAGAACATCAAGTTGGGCTCATCCATGAAGTGGAATCCCTCAGAAAGAGCGCATCTGGTGGAATAATTAGTAAAGAACTCACGTGGTGGAACTGTAAACCGGTAACCTACGGGTCAACTTCGAAGCTGGCAATGCAGTCGTACGCTCCTTCCTTGATGCTATGCAAGAAGTCCCAACCGTCGTGGAGGTCATAGAAGAAGACTTGAACATCAACACCAGCCTTAAAAGCTAAGTTAGTAGGGACAAAAAGCATAGAGACACTGGCATCTAAACTTACCTCAGCCTGTTTGATCAGAATATGGTCAAAGCCCTTGCTGCCCCAGATAGGGTCAGCGGAAATGCCCAAAATATTCTCGTTGTCGCTAGTCCTGAAGCCAGTTGCAAGACCTGAGAGAGAAACGACACGGGACGCTCCCTCTTCAACACGACTCCAAAGCTCGGCATTGTCCGGCAGACCTTCCTCCGGCATGGTAACGGAAATGATGAGGTCGTCGTCACCATCTTTCAACTTGATGCCGTCGGAGTGGTTCTCATGGTATTTGACACAATCGTCTTTCTGAACAAACTGCACAATGACCTTGCCGTTCTCACTCCAAGCGCGCTCGATAGCACCGCCGTAGACAAGCTGTAGGATGCTAGAGGTATTCGCCCACTCGGGAAGATTTCCGAAAACTATTCGTCGAGGAGGTCCAGCAGGCGCAACCTTGGGTGCCATTTGCTTCTGTAATTGAAGCAAACGGAATTGCTTCATGAAATCAGCAGGGGCAGTAAGGCCTCTGGTCTGCTTGGGAGAGCCAGTGGACTCCTTGTCTCCGGTGGACTCAAGCTTCTGGGATGCCTTGGAACTACCAATAGAGACATTGTCTGCATCCTTACTCTCGGTATCAGCTTTGGCAGGAATTACCTTCTTAGGTCCAGTAGTCGCCTTGCGAGGAGTACTCTTCACAGGCGCATGAGCGACTTCATCCTTGGGACCAGGGGCCTTGGCGGTGGTTGCAGGAACAAATGGCTTAGCGCGAGGATCAATAACAGAAGTCTTCTGAGCATCGGGGGCACGCGAAGTGCTGACACGAGAAGGGGCATCCTTCAGAGTGACAACGGGGGCACGGGAGTCAGGAACACGAGACGCAAGGGCTTTCTTGTCCTATGAAAGATCAGTGTGGGACAAAGTAACAAAGAGACAAGAGTGTTATTCTCGAGGGTGGTGGCAGTTGAAGGGGTCGATGAACAAAAAAAAGAGTGCGTCAAGAAGCACACGAACATATAGTGGAAAATATCGAGGTGTGTATGGGGAGAAGAGTGCGACATACCCTGTTGAGCTTCACGGCCATCTCAATATCCTTCGAGGCATCATAGAGCTTGGAGGGGATATCCATCTCCAGCTGGGCGAAGCGATGAGCCTTGAGGCGAGCTGACACTGTCTGCACTCCAGCAAGGCGATCGGCGCGAGCCTGCTTGCGAATAGCAACAGGGGCATGGATGCTCTCCTCCAGACTGATCATATCGCAGTTGGAGATCACGTCGTAGATGACCTTGGTGGTGATACGAATATCAGCTTGCTTGTCGAGAGTGATTGGAGCAAGACCGTTAGGTCCAATAACCTTAGGTTTCTCCATGATGCAACAAAAAGAAAGAAATCAGGATGAGGTGGAGAAGAGGAAGAGAAGAAGAGGAGGAAAACAAAACATTTTATTTTGGGAGGTTGGACGCGCGTAGAATGTTTTGGGGTGGTTGTGTCTTTGACTTGAGAAGGCACGAGTCTTGCCTTTTGAGTTGAGGGAAGGAGCAGTCAACTTCATCTATACTAGTCCTACTAGTCCTACTAGTATGGAATACTATGGATGTTACTATAACGGGTACTGCCTTTCTCATTCTTCCAAGACCAAGTCTGAAGATTCGGACATGGACATCAAGATATAATCACCCAGGCATATATCATGTATATACCCTTAACATGTTTAATGAGAACAGGTCTCTAGAAAGACAAACTATTAGCACGATATCTAACAAAGAAATCTCCCGGTGTGAACAAGCAGTGCTCCTGGTTACTCTTCGGGAGGTTACTGGTGCTTTCATCAGCCTGTCTCATTGTGTTTTAGGTGAATCTTGTTCGCCAGGCAACTAAACACCAGAAGGATGGTTGTGATATCTTTTGAGCTCGCTAGCAAGGTAGCTTCAGCTATTCTTATCTACAATATAAAACCTGGTGGGTAAATATAAACGGAAATTGTATTGCCCTTTCAACTTAATTTTATATTCCTAACATTCCCTCTTCACGCCACTGCCTTACCTCATGATCTTGCTATAACCTCGTTGTTATGTGTCAACCTCACGTCCATGTTCTTTTGTCTCACAAACCATGCATTAATAATCTCCCATTCTGCGCTAGGATCATTGAATTCAATCTAAGGAGCCCCAGTTAGTGTCAGATCCCAAATCTCGGTTCGAAAGCCGTATCCTCACCTTGTATCTTAGAAATAGCGACGGAATCAACTTATATATCTCAAGCAGACTGATATTCTTGCCAATGCAAGTCCTCGGTCCAGCCCCGAAAGTAAATGTCGCACGCATCATCTTCTGCTTCCTGTCCTGGAAACTGGTCTCAGACTCAGTATCCATCTTAAGCCACCGCTCTGGGACAAACGACTCAACATTCTCTCCAAAGACGTGGCTCCGATGTACTATCCACGGATTGGCACCAACTATCGTCCCAGCTGGCAAAAATGGTCCGCCACCAGGAAGTTGGAGTCCCTCAGCGGGAACGACCCGCTCAAGCATTAATCCTACGGCTGGGTGAAGACGTAGTGCTTCTTTGATCACCGCATCGAGGTAAGGGAGTTGCTCTTGGCTTTGTTTCCACGAGACAGGTAAAGAGATCTGATTTTCTTCCAAGGCGGTGGTAAGCTCTTGCTGCAGTTTCATACTTGCTCGCGGGTTCTTAAGGGTGTAATAAAGAATTGCTCGGAGAGATATCGCCGTTGTGTCGGAGCCAGCATTCATATTGCTGATTGTGTATGAGAAGACTTGGTTATCGCCCACAATATTCGGGTGCTCATTTCTCGCTTCCAAGAAACGATCGAGAAAGTCCTTTTGCTTATTGGCCACGGGTGATGTGATTTTCTGGTTCAACCGTTCGTCTAGTCTTGCGCGAGCAAAGCGAGCCACAGCCCCAGTTGAACCCCCTCCGAAAAGACTCTTGAGAGGGTTCTTGATGAAAAGGTAGTCGAGCCATGGCATCTGCCCAATCTATGCCCCAATCTCATTAGCTGTGAAGTCAATTATCTAATACGTCGCAATGCCAACCTTTCCGGAATAGTCGAGCATATGCTCCAATGCGACGATGATTCCATCGATATCTTTCCCTTTTTCGAGGAACCCAAGTGGCTTACTGAACGTCAATTCTCCGATGACATCAAATGCATCTTTTGAGCTATGTTAGATCCTGCTCTCATGTCACATGGGAAGAAAGAGACCACTTACAGTATTGTAGCCAAGCAGCAATATCGCAGACTTTTGCTTCAGCTACAAACTCATCCAGTTTTCCAAATAAGGTATGAATGGTCTTATCCACAAAAGGCTCGAACTCGGTCAAGGTACTCATTGAGTAAGCTGATGAGATAGGTCTTTTAATAGCAGCATGGAAAACCTCATCGGTTGTAGTAAATAGTGTAGGTGTCGGTCTGCCTTTGGCAAGCTGCTGCTGAACAGAGTAGAAATTTGTCTTGCGAATGTTAGCGAAAAGATCAATTTACTTCTTGTAACTTGAACTGACCTTTTGATATCCCTTATTAATGCCATATATCGTTTTCAAAGCATCCAAATTCTGCACACTGACTACGTTGGGTCCTAGTCGAACGTAGTCCCCATGTTTTTGGTGAAGATTGTAAAGGGTCACTTCTGCGCGACCATTGGCGACATCGATAAACCTCCAAAGGTTTGTTAACTTAGCCAGTAATGGCCCGGGAATTGACGTTACTCCTGGTTTGAAATAGTTGCGAGTGAAGTGAAATAAGGTAAGAGTGACAAGGATGGCTGGTAGATGTGACCAGATTGAGATCAATACTTCCGAGATGATAGCCATGGTGAAGTCCACAGGTATTGTCTGCTAGTGTCCTAGTATACCTAACTAATAGGCATACTATTTATGTATACACCGTCGATTTGGGAAATGCGGGGAAATGCGGGGAAATGGGAGAATTCCGCTCTTGTAGCTACCTAAGTACCTGCGGAATGAGTCTCGCCTGAAGAGTATAGCCGTAGTAACTTAGGAGCGTACCTACATGGGTAACTATATATCTTTATATGTAGGTAGTGTCGGAGGATGACTGCATGTAACAATGCTGCCCAGGTGAACGGACCCGGAATAGTGGTGGTACAGGCTGGTGGCTCCAAAAGCGGCCATTTTTGTCAACGCCACAGGTGCTCAGAGATATAAACATTGGTCCACATATTATTCATTTATCTAAAGCTCCTAAAGGTCTCTCCAACAAAGCTATCAATACACCAAAGACACCAAAGGATAAGGAAATCTATATAACAAGAATGGGTAGAGTGGGTATTTGATTCCAGAACATTAAAGCTTCATCGATGGGACAGGAATACTCTCGAATCCTTTCTGTCCGGGCTTACGGTTTTCAACAATAACTTGAAGACCACGACGACCACAAAAGCCGTCATTGCCCGCAACTCGATCAACAACTTGGAAAGAGCCGCCACCGTTGTGTGCAGCATTTGGAACCCACACAGTCTCCTGCACAGTTTGACCGGGGACTTCCGTGCGACGGGGATTGTGCCAAGGTAGACCGACAAGGTGGTTTCCAAGGTTATGGAGGAACGCATAGAGCCCCTCGAAACGGCGGGTGATTCCCAACCAAGAGAGAGTGCGGTGGTCATAGGCGGTTCGCACGAACGGGTTCATGTAGATGCCCGTATCGGTTATCTCGTCAACGTTTGTTGGCGGGTCTTGGATGTCCGCGTGGATGAGGCAGCATTCGGAAGCCTCCCAGAAGAGATCGGGACCGGAGCGGAAACGTGCTGGGTTGGGGGTTGTAGGCGGCGGCGATCCTTTTTGGAAGTATTTGGCATCAAATGCCACCATTCCGCCCCAGCAGCTGCGAACACGCACTGCGTCTTTGCCGGCCAGGACATCTCTTCGGCTCTCACCTTTGCCGGATGTAGTGAACCATGGGTAGAAGGGGAGACCCATGCTGTAACCTTCAAGATCGCGGGTGGCATATGTGTCGTAGAATTTGATGGGGTTGTCGAAATCTACAGCACAGGCTGCACGGTATTGGGCAACGCCATCTTCATTGGCATTTGTTGAGAATAAGAGCTGGGGGACCTCGGAGGGGTGGAAGAGGATATCGTTCAGATATAGAAGCTTATCGAATTTCAGCTCCGGGTGGTCGGTCAAGGGCTGTAGTGCTCGGTTCCGAGCCTGGGCTAGATATTCGATGCGCTTGATTCGCTTTGATCCACCAGGAATGGTCACAGTCGGCATACTCTTCAGGTCCAGGTGCTTTTCAGACACAATTGATTTCTGGCACTGCACTTTCTCCTCTAACGCGCGTAATGCGCGCTCTCCCTCCTCACCGCTGTCGTTCTCGTAGATACTCAGGAACACATTGTCAGGCCCAAGCAAATCAATCAACTCCAGGAGTTGTGTTCCCCACTGGCCCTGGGCAAGCTTGCCACCACCATCATACAGACTTGCTGCAATAAAGACCTTCTCTTGGCGGGGATTGCCTCGTCCGGGATATGAGCTTTCGAGTATTGATTTGCGGAGTGTAGAGTAATGCGTGGGCAGATGGGTATAAGATGGGAAAAGCATCGAGGTGAAAAGCGCGAGTACAAAGACAATACCGGCGACAACGGGGAGGTAGCAACAGCGGCGAATACAGAAACGTCGAGAACAGCTCGGTCGTGGTGTGCCTGCGAGGGCCGGTCTGGAAGGGTTGTTCAGGCGGCGATAACCTGCCGATGCCGAAGAGAGAAAACGGGATAGCCAGGGCAGTTGGCGTTCGCCAAATTTGGATGAAGAAGGGACTTGGGCTTCAAAATCAGCCTCGTCGAGGTTGAACGTCCCCTGCGAGTCAACTGAGGACCGTGAGGCAAGTTCCCATTCATCGGGATGGAGTAGTCGCGCAGTCATGGTGGACCGTGTCACCAAATGGGTATAAACCCTTGGGACTATCTTCAACTGCAAATTGATCCAATAAGATGGCCCGTTGCAGCCATTATTGGTGATAATGAAAAGCAACCTGTTTGGTGATTTCGCCCGCGCCGGGCCCCATTGAGATCTTACATCATCAATATATCACGTGATACCAACAAGTATATGATAGATGTACAATGTGTAGTTCAAATATTTCTGGGCTTAAATGAGTATGATTGTAGATAGGGAGATAAAACACCGAACAACAGGTTTAGATGGAGACCCTCCTTGTATATTTCATCATTTGGGTGACTCCAGTAGAAAACAAATGTGTAACGTGATTTCCCGATGGAGGTTCCGATATGTAGTGACGTAGCTGTAGTCGGGGCACCCGTGGACAGCCAGTTCTGTTCGCGCCCAGATGAAATCATTCATCCTCCCATTCACTCTCTGTGTTCACTTGCTTTGAACTGCCCCATCTTACACTTAACCTACTCACTTGCTCAAATATCTGCGGCGTGGTGACTGAACATACTTCATCTGTGATCATACTGCTTCCCCGCATTCCACAGCCCACCATGTCGCAATCGCAATTCAAATTCGTCAACTCAGATGCTGAAGTCCCAGGCAATGGTACTCCTCCCCCAGAGTTCACCATCAATGCGCCAGCTTCCACAGATATATGGGCCAAGCCGCCCTCCACCACCCGCTTCTCAGCCCCGATCTTGTACAAGTCTGTGTCGTTGAAGTCATTCAAGCGGATCCGCGTCGCCTTCAATGCCCTTTGGGAGAAGAACTATGACCAGGGTGGCATAATTCTTGTCCTGAATACCGCCGACGGTGGCCAGAAGTGGGTGAAGAGCGGCATTGAACTCACCAACGGCAGACCCCACCTCAGCGTTGTCGCCAAAGACAACTGGGCGGACTGGAGCTTGCTTCCAGTGCCCTCGGGCGGTGGTGCAGCAACTCTTGAGTTGGTCAAGGAAAAGGACAATAGTCTGTGGATCTATCTTGTTGAGGGCTTGCAGAAGTCCCCTATCCGGGAGGTCACTTGGGTCTTTGCGGAGGAGAATGTGAAGGACTTCTGGGTTGGTGTCTATGCTGCCCGGCCATCAAGCGAGGGTGGGAAGTTGCCTGTCAATTTTGGTCATTTGATTATAGAGGAATAGATTAGTGGGATGTTGTTAGTTATATGCCCCAATAAGTAGATGGCGATGGCCACTACGAACAATGATGATATATGATGAATAGGATGATTCGAATGAAGTGAAAGTAAGACTACTCTTGACCCTGGAACACAGCAGGACATTCACGATCTATTCAGGTAGAAATAAAGATACCGGCTTGCTGCAGATATACTACGGCTCCACAGAGTTTCAGGTCCACCTCTGCGCCAAAGATGACTGAAATAGTGCAGATCAGCCGATGTGCGAATAGGTTCCAATAAATTGATTACATTTTAGATTTATTGTTCGACCTTTGTCATGATAGATGATTGGCTATGCTGCGGGGTTACTACCTAGGTTGCATGAACACAGCAATTAATGTTGATTTATACATGGCGACAAATGTTGGGCTTTCCAAGTAGTACATTGTGCGCATTAGTTAAATTACTTGTGAGTTTGGCTTTATCAAATGGAACTTACAATATGAGTAGTGGGGTGTCTGTCTACCTTATACGGACTACTTCTGGACCTCTACTTATATGTGGCTATATATGTAGACTCTAGGATCCTCTTTCTGCTCATGTTCTCATTTTGATATTAAACCAATGTTATCCTATATTTGTACACTACCCGCTAGAGACCATAAGCTTACACCTTCCCAATCGGAGTTATCTGATCCTACTATATGGAGTACCTAGTGCAGTGTAATCCCGACAATCGGGTGAATGCGCCGCACAAGACCTATTTCGGATGCCGAGGTCACACCAGTCGCGTGTTAGTATGACACAAGTGGAGAAAAAGTAAATTGGATATTCCTTCCATTGCTTCCGTTCTTCCGTCCCTTTTCCAAATTCCCCTTTCCACTCCAAAAGATATCAGATATTGTTCATTAAATGGAGAACGGAAAATGATATAACCCCTGGTCAAGTGACCGGGTCTGTCATTCCAGCAGTGATCTAATGGGTTTTCCCTAGATCGAAGTCAACTGACAGGGTAGCAATGCATGTTGCTGCCAGATAGTGGAGACCGTTTAAATATATTATGTAGCTATGCAGTTAGTTCCCTTGGTAAAAAAAACAAAAACGAAAAACGAAAAGAATGAACTTCCATAAATCAATAGATATAATTCCAGATCAAAAAAAAGGAGGATCAAACTTCCATCTTATCTGATGAGGTGAACCAGGGTCAAGTGACTTGGCAGTACCAAAGACTCAGCTCATGCCACCAAGTGAACCCAAGTGAGCACAATGTATTCCGCGGGTAGCCCCTCCGATTGTAACAGTCCCCGTGCCCCCAAAACTCCACCTTCTATTTTTTTAATTTTCATCTTTGACACATCTTTACCTTTCAGGGAAAAATATATACTGGGAAACACCTGGGCCTTTCCAACATCCTAGAATGATGACTGGGTCAGGACTGTGACACTGTTTTCTTAAACTGTCTTGGTGCATAATCCTGGAATGCAAGAGATGAGCTGAGATCGGACCTCAGCCTCTCACCTCACCTCTTACCATCATCGACCCCATCCACGTGCATAAGTGCGACTGACGATCGGGTTTGGTGTCATTTTGCGCAGAAAACCCAAGACTTGCAGACCTAAAATCTTCAAGGCCTGCTTTCCCCTTACATTTGGGCGTCTTCCTCCGAAGCACGGCGGATCTACCCATCCGCCAATCTGCCCCATATCTGCCTACGGGATCCTTCTTACAATAGCCCTTCATGGGTTGACCCCCGAGGCAAGCGCGCTTCAACTTTATTTTACATATTGCGCCCCATATTTATTTCCTTCTTGTCCTGGCCTAATCCGGTCTCCGATTCGCTGTTGACATCTCGTGTTGTCGTTTCTTTTTCCCGGTGGACCTGACTGGCTCGGGTTACCTGAAGAGCGCCGAAAGTACTTATTAGAGCAGGCTTTCATCCCTTTTATGTGATACGCCTGCCGCTACTTACATCTGATATCGCATGAACTCTTTTTTCTTTTTTGATGACCTATTTTCCGCTTAATCGCCGCTTTTAAGATCACCGTCTTTTGTATATGGTTTCTACCAATCCCAGACCGAACTCCCTTACCGGTTATTCTTATTCTTATATGGACGCTGTTCATTAGAGAATAACCCCGTTCAAAACGTATACGATCTTCGTGGTCACCGTGCATCGGTCACGAGATGCCACTTCTCGATCCACGCTCAGGACCGTCCTACGGCACTATCGAACACGAAACCGCCGGAATGGAGCATGAAAGGGATCAACTGTTGCAGGATGATTACGAGATTGAGGGCCAGCCCAGTGGACTGTCTACACCGGATGAAGTGCAGGAGGGAGTTCAAAAGATTGAGGCTATCAATCTGACTTGGACAACTAAGTCTTTAATGGTAGCCTACGTCAGGTTCGTGTGGCTTGCAGTCCCATGCTTTTGCTGAACCCTTGCTGACTTGGCGCGAAGTATATTCCTCATGGCATTCTGCACATCGCTGGAAGGTCAGACTGTGATGTCGCTGTCTGCATATGCGACGAGTGCATTCAGTAAACACGCGTTGATCTCGACTGTCCTCGTTGTCCAGAATGTGGTTAATGGTGAGAGTTTACTACCCCGCTTCAAATCAATGAGCGGCTGCTAATCTTTTATCGATCTCTAGCCGTCATTAAACCCCCTATGGCTAAGATCGCCGACGTATTCGGTCGCTTCGAGGCTTTCTGTCTGAGCATCCTTATATACATTCTGGGATATATCCAAATGGCCGGCTCCACCAACGTCCAGACCTACGCCTCTGCCCAAATATTTTACTCCGCCGGATCGACCGGCTTGCAGATCCTCCAACAAGTCTTCATTGCCGACAGTAGTGACTTGCTGAACCGTGCCTTCCTCACCCTTCTGCCCCAATTCCCATTCTTGGTTACGGTCTGGCTCGGACCGACCATTGCGGACGCGGTGCTGCGCACTAGTTCATGGCGATGGGGCTATGGAATGTGGGCTATTATCCTGCCTGCATCCTTCCTGCCACTCGCTCTCACGCTGCTCTCCAACCAACGCAAGGCCCAGAGATTGAATTTGATCAAAAAGCGGACTAGAAGACGGACGAACTTGGTTAGCGTCATACGTCGGACCTGGTACGATTTGGACGTGGGCGGACTAGCCCTTTTGTCTGCTGCCGTCACATTAATTTTGGTGCCTTTGACTCTTGCGGCCAGCGCAAAGAACGGATGGAAGAATGTCAATATTTTGGTCATGATCGCGCTTGGTGTTGTTTGCCTGTGTCTGCTACCGCTCTGGGAGTCTTCACGGAAATTGGCCCCCAAGCCCCTGCTATCTCTACACCTCCTCAAGCAGAAAACTGCTCTTGCGGGATGCGCATTGGCGTTCTGGTATTTTAGTAAGTTGATAAATTCTCTTGACGTCCGAGGTGTCGTTGCTAACCTAACCTAGTGGCCTTCTACTTTTCGGTTCAGCCTTACCTCTATTCCTACCTGCAGGTGGTACATGGGTACGAAGTTGCCACTGCTGGCCGCATAACCCAGACATTTTCTTTCACCTCAACCATTGCCGCATTCAGCGTATCACTTCTTATCAAGTATACCCGACGATACCGCATCTATATCACGATCGGATGTGTTGTGTACATGACCGGCCTAATCCTGATGCTCCTGTGCCGAGGACAATCAGCCTCGCACTTCCAAGTCCTCGGCACACAGGTCATTGTCGGCATCGGTGGCGGTCTGATTAATGTGCCCGTCCAACTGGGCGTCCAAGCATCTGCCAGCCACCAGGAAGTTGCAGCAGCCACTGCGATGTTCCTGACCTCCATGGAAATGGGTGGTGCAGTCGGTGCCGCTATCTCAGGAGCTGTTTGGTCCTCTGCCATCCCACGCAAGCTTCTTCAATACCTTCCCGAGGAAAGTAAAGGTCAAGCTGCTGAAATCTTCGGCAAGCTGACCACCGCTCTGTCGTACCCAATGGGATCCCCAACTCGCATTGCTATCAACCGTGCGTACCAAGAGACCATGAACCGGCTGCTGACGCTGGCTGTCATTGCCACCCTCCCTCTCATTCCGTTGAGTCTTCTTATGGTCAACTACAAACTTGACAAGGTAAGTTGCCAATCAGTGATTTCCAGCGATCCCTTCTAACTTCATTTGACTTCATTCTAGATGGGCTACGGTAGTCCCAAACATCAGAGCGACCCAGCTCTAGTTGAGGGAGAGGCAGAGCCCAACTCGGATGATGGACACTCCAAACGAACATAACCCCCCAGCATTCCTGTGTGCATTCACCGCGCACGACAATTACGATCTTACGAACTGAACTTTTTTGTGTAGTTTTTTACGACTTAACTTTTTTTTTTTTCCCTATTTGCATCTCGACACAAACCATCAAGCGGCGTTTTCGGTTGTTTGAGCAAGGTACAATACATCTTCGATATATTCTGTTCATCCCGACTGGTTGACGAGCCAGTCCACCATCTGCATTCGGCGTTATCATTTATGTATTCCTGGGGTTGGATGTATCTATCTTTCCAAGACTGTGACAGTTCAATAGACCTAGATAGGTATCAATCCTGAAAATTTGAATAGCCAAGCGGTAAAGAAAAACTTGCCCTACTACACTGCACTGCACATTATAGTACTTTGTATCGTCGACAAAGATAAGACACCCATGCTGACTCCGGGCCATAACCCATAACCCGGTCAAGCATAATCCGTACCCAACGCACTCTGACGGGCTCAATCCACCAAACATCAAATTTCCACCAAAACGAAGCGATTGTTCCGATCCGGCCGGCTTGCCGCTCTAAGACCCTCGAGCTGTGACATGTTTTTCTCCTACAGTTACAGCCTAGTGGGTTTCATTTCCCTGCAACGGTCAGGAATAGAGTTGGTTGCCCCTGTTTTTCACACTTGACAAGGTACTTTATATTGCTTATACCAGCTCATATCCCAGTCTAGTCCAATTCAAACTTCACGCATCGCGGCCTTATATCCACCATCTATCCGCCAATGCGGGAAGGGTTTAGATTTGAATTTGGATTTGACCCTATTTGAAATCTCAAAAACCTTAGCTAAATTTGTAAATATTGAATTTTGTCTTTCCCTTTCTCTTTTTCTTTTCCTTTTCACTCCGTACTAACCCCCTCTCGTCTCTCCCCTTAGCCAACCCCAGTCCTTATTCAGCTCGTATACCACGTATATTACCCGTGCACGTACCTGCATATATGCATGCATGCATACCAGATACCGCAACGGAAGGGCTTGGGGATACATGAGATACGAATTGACCCTGCTTGGCCCCCCTGGTATGTGCATGTGCTTACTGTGTAAATGTATACCCCGTACTGTCCGGAGGTACTCCGTATGGAGGAACGCGCAGACTGCAATATCCGGATATCAAGTCAGACCGTCAGCTATCGGCTATCAACCATCAGCACTGTGTATACTTGGTTAGTAATGTGAGTCACCTACCTGGACAATGACCTCAGCCACGCTGTGAAGGTGAAACTTGTGGAGAGATTGGATCTGGATCTGGCTGCCAAGCTGTGACGGGAACAAGCCACTTACCAATAACGGGGTAGGTTAGAATTAGAGTGTTCTGGGTTGGATTTGGAGTGTACGGAGTGTACTATGGATTGTATTTTTATTGTATCCAACTAGGTCCTAGATCTCAGACGTAAAACGGCGGTTTGCGAAAGGGGAGATTTAGGGCCGAGGGGAGACGGGAGACCGGGAACCCGTAAATGGTGAAACGGGATTGAAATTGGGGACTTTTTTTTATTAACTTGCTTTTTTTTTTCCCTTTTTTTTTCTTTTCTGTGTCACGGGAAAAGGGAAAAGGGTGAAAGAAATGAGTTGACTCGAAGAGAAAAGGGGGTAAATACTCCGGTAACCTCTCTCCTTTTGTTCCTCGACGGCATTTTAGACGCTTATCTTCTAAGACTTATACTTGGTATTATTGGGGTAATAGGTGTTTAATACTTCTGTACTGCTGTACATATGTAGACAGGTAGACATGATGGGTTTTGGTTTAAGAATGTGATCCTCCTATAAAGAGATCAGATTCGAGTCTAGAGATCACAGCGCTTAGCCGACAGCGGCTGGCCGTTTATTATAGAGTATTTATAATACTTTATAGTATTTATAGTATTGGTAGTATTTATAGTATTTATAGTATTTTTTTTATAGGAGGTCGAGGGAGAATGAGGAGATGAGGAGAGATAATGATACCGTTCTCTTGGCAGTCAATGACACAAGAGATATCATATTAATCCATGGAGATGATCATATATAATTGTACTCCGTAAAAATAAAAATAAAAAGGTATAAAAAGATCTATTTCTTTTATATATCTAAAAATATTAATAAATACCATCGAGACTGTTAATCAAGCGAAGAACTGTACAGACCGTGTATCGAAACTAGCACCGTGTCTAGACTCCATACTCTGCGGGTTGCCCCATTCAATCCAGACCACAGCTTCTTCCTCCCTTTTTGTCTCCCACACTCTTCTTCTCTATCACTCTTACATCAATACTCCTCATTAATTCAAAATGGTCGTCGCTACCATCAAGTATGCTATCCTTATTTCTCTTCATCCCCCCTTGCCGAGGCGAAAACCCCCCAGATCTCATGGCTAACCCCAACCCAGATGTGTCGTGGTGGGGGACGGTGCAGTAGGAAAGACCTGTCTGCTCATCTCATACACAACGAACAAGTTCCCTTCGGAATATGTCCCCACCGTCTTTGACAACTACGCCGTGACCGTGATGTAAGTCATCCTCCGAAAAACCCCCTCCCCCGAGAAAAAAAAAATTATACGTCAGTCCAACCTCAAAGAAAGACTTCTGACCGATCGATCTCCAAATTCAGGATCGGCGATGAGCCTTACACCCTGGGACTGTTCGATACCGCCGGTCAAGAGGATTACGACCGCCTGCGCCCGCTCTCTTACCCACAGACTGACGTGTTCTTGGTCTGCTTCTCCGTCACCTCACCTGCCTCATTTGAGAACGTCCGCGAAAAGTGGTTCCCCGAAGTCCACCACCACTGCCCCGGTGTTCCCTGCCTGATCGTCGGTACCCAGACTGATTTACGCGACGATGCTGGAGTCCGGGATAAGCTTGCCCGCCAGAAGATGTCCCCCATCCGCAAGGAAGACGGTGACCGGATGGCAAAGGAACTTGGCGCTGTTAAATACGTCGAGTGTTCTGCCCTGACACAGTATAAGCTCAAGGATGTCTTTGATGAGGTACACCGAATCTTCCACTTTTTTTTTTGCTGCCCGATATCTCTACACCGCTACTGACACGTTATTCTTTCTACTTTCTAGGCTATTGTCGCGGCACTCGAACCCGCGCCTAAGAAGAAGTCAAGGGGCTGCCGCCTGCTGTGAGCTTATCCTTCACGGACTTATCGCAACAGGTTGGTCCGAGTGCGACGGATATGTTGCACTTGGGTTGATGCCTAGTTGACGCGCGCCTTGAAGCTACGATGGAATGAACCTGTTTATTTCTCTTTTTTTCCCTACTCTTTCACGTTCTATTGGGCGGCAAATATTTCTGGCTGGACTTTGTTTTCTGGGATATCCAAATTCAGCGACAAAAAAAAGGGGGGAGTGTGGTCTTGTATTATGGCTAGCGATGCTATCTGAAGCGTTCCATATCTACGTTTTCCAGTTGAAAATGGCTTCTGTGCTTTCTCTTGATCCCCTTTTTTCTCTTATTTTTGTTTCTGTTCGCATATCCCAGTTCGAGCTCTAGCCTCTCTAATTTGCTGTGTCCCTTGTCTTTTGGTTCTGCTTCTTCTTTTCTTGCTTCGCCTGGCTGCGTCTATCTGCCGTCTTCAACGACCTGGTCTCGAGTTACTATTGGTACTCGTCTCCTTCTCACCTTTCAATTTCCCCGATCCTCCACCCTCATTCCTCTCCTTCACGAACTATAGCGACAGCAATTTTGACCTTCTTCTCCCCTTTTTGTCGCGTCGACTACACTCCCCGCATCCTACCTATTACCTTCTCCGCACCCGGCTCTTTCACCTCTTGGACCGTCTCTCTCGGCGTTGGACGTCAGGGCGTCGTGTTTTGGCTTTTGGCTGGTGGACGGTTTCCGTCACTGTGATCACTCCCCCCATATCCCCCCATGCCCTGTCCTTTTTTTTTTTCTTTTTCACGTGCTATTTATGTACCCCCCAGCTTTGCGAACAACCCGGACTATGATATTGAGCTTGCTGTACCCTTCTCTTGCAGATCCGGCTTCTCGTCGTTTTTCCCCCGCCTCTATGTGATTTCGCCTGTTCCAATCTGATCTACTATCGCCATTACTCTCTATGCGCGCGCTCTCGATACAAGCATATCCATTCATGTTCTTTCTGTGATCTCTTGCAGTCTTTCGAGTTATGTCTCACTGAAGAGCTACGTTGTTTCTGGTTCTTAGACAGTCGCAGATAATGGACTCCAATTCAATCAGTTCTATCAAGCTATTTTGGGGTTGAGAGTGTATTTGTTACTAAGCTTGTAGTATTTTGATATTGCTTTTCCAAGGTTCCCGAGCTCTAAGTCTCTGATATCATAGGCTAAGCTCACCTAATTTGTACTGTGTCATGACATCACTCCAGTTTACAGATATCAAGACATCATTCAAGAAATTATATGTCATTCATTCTTCACTTCATTCCACATGCATCTCGTAGACCTTATCCAAAAACTCAAAGCTCATCCTTGCCCTCCTTCTCCTGAGCTTCCTCCTCCTGAGCTCCCTCCTTCTCCATCCACCCATACCACCCACCAAGATCCTCATCAACACCAGACTTAACAAGACTAGTAATAATCTCAAAAGCAACCTGCGCGGCCGCAAGAGCAGTAGTCTCCCCCTTATTATCATAGGCAGGCGAAACCTCCACAATATCCGCACCCACAATATTCAACTTCTCAAGTCCACGCAGAATCCGAATAAACTCACGCGTAGTCCAACCACCAGGCTCAGGAGTTCCAGTGCCGGGCGCGGTCGACGGATCCAAAACATCAATATCAACCGAAAGGTAAACAGGCTGCTCGGGATCAATCCCCGTACGAGCAAGAATAGTCTCAACAATACCCATAGGCCCAAGCTCATCAATATCATCAGCATGAATCCGAATAAATCCCTGCTCAGGACCCGGGTTCGTATAATCCCCAGCATCAACACCAGTAAGACGAGTCCGGAGTCCAGCATGTGCAGAAGTAGCATTACAAATAAGTCCCTCCCGACTCGCCTTGTGGAAGAACGACCCGTGGTTAAACTGCGTCTGCTCCGATTGCCAGTACGCGCTGTACCGCACGGGGTTCCAGGTGTCGAGGTGCGCATCGAAGTGCACAACCGTAATGGGCTTCTGGTAGATCTGGTGCAGAGCGCGCAGAGCAGGCAGCGCAACGCTGTGATCTCCACCAAGCGTTACGAGCTTGGGGTGTTTGGCGCCGATCCCGTTCGACTTGGGTGCTTTGTTCACGATGCTGCGTGAGCCAAGCTCAAGGAAGGCTTCGTACATCTGGCGCTCGGCAAGCCCGTTGTCGAAGGGGGTGATGGGGATGTCGCCGCAGTCCGTGATCTTAGCCCAAGATTGGTAGGGGTTGATTCCGGCGCGCGTGTTGTAGCTTGTTGGGGCCATCTGGCGCGCGCTGGCGGCGCGGATTGCGCGGGGTCCGAAGCGGGCTCCTGTGGGGGATTTTGTTAGTATTGCATTTTGACTGGCATTGGGAGGGGTTTGCTTTCGTACCTGGTCGGTAGCTGACGGCTGTATCGAACGGCGCGCCAATGACGGCGATGTCGTAGTGCTCATCGGGCTCGATAAGACACTTGACGGGCTTCAGGTGGGCGAAGCTGGCAATGCCGGAGAAGGACCACTGGATAGGTATGTGTTAGGGATTTTTTGAATCTCATTTCTTGGATATTGTAGCATTGCCGCATTATCATACCTCCTGGTCCCATTTCTTGAGTAATTCCGCCCGCTCATGTTCGGGGACTACCTCGCCGTTATCGTGGTGCGCGCATGAGGCCGCAGAACCGGCCAAGGCCAGTGTAAGGAAGGTTTTCCAAGTAGGCATGGCTGGAGTTATTTGGGAAGTAAAAAAAGGAAAAGTTAGAAATGAAGATATTTATTGTCTTTTCTACATGTCTCTTGTCTCGTCAAGTTTCCTGAAGCAGTAGTGTTGTAAAGGGAAAGACGAACAGATAGGGTCCCGATCGTGCAGACTTTCCCTTCTTGGCTGTGGCCCGCTTTTCGGTTTTCTTTCTTTTGACAACTCCTCAGCTTTGATAGCTACAATGCAATGCGGCGAGTTGTTGTAACCGGTCTTGGGGCGGTGACACCGCTAGGTGTAGGTGAGTTACTTTCTCTCTTTTTTTTTTTGGTTATTCTTGTTGTTATGTTGGCATTGATAGCTCCAAGGTCGTTCTTGGAGCTCATCCGAGAATGTTATCGGGTACAATGCATGCATGCAATTACGCAATTCCACAATTCCATCTGCCAGCCAAGCAAATCCCTGCCGGTGTGCCCTACCCATGTCTGATTGTCCGGGAGTCCATGCGTGATATCCGATATCCCCAGACTCTGGGCTCTGGGCTTTCGAGCTCTACATTCCCCACTTCTCACTCCGGAAGGGGAAGGTTGTGACAGCCAATGACGGAGGGCATACAGACCAGTGTGGGACACTTGACGATAAGAGACAGTACCCGCTGTATACTGGGTTTCATTTTACGTGTTTGATTGTACTTTGGTATTTGGTATTTGTGAATGCTTCTGTGACTAACACTGTGCTTGGCTGCAGGCATTCGGCGTACATGGAAACGCTTACTAGATGGCCATTGTGGTGTTGTTAATGTGAAAGATCGCGATGAGCGCTATGCTGAGCAGCCCTGTCAGGTGGCTGCTGTTGTGCCAGAGGGCAGTCGCAAGAATGGGGGGTGGACTGCCTCAGAATGGTTGAGTCGAGTTGTACGTCTTTTTTCAACTAACTTCAATTTTCGATTTGTGTTTTATTTGCAATGCTGATAATTTGGGGTGGATAGGAGGAGCGGAAGATGGCCAAGTTTGCGCAGTATGCTATGGCGGCGACAGAAGAGGCGCTTCAAGATGCAGAATGGAAGCCCGAGCCTTTTGAGCAGAGAGAGGCGACGGTATGTGTAGGAATGCGTGCTAGTGTGACGACTATACTAACCATTTTGATAGGGCGTTTGTCTAGGATCAGGCATTGGCAACTTTGATGAAATCTACAACACAGTTATTGCCTACGACAAGGGGGTAAGGTCCTTCCATCGTACATGGGCTAGGGAAACCTACAACTAACATGTTGCACAGGGCTACAAGAAGGTCAACCCCCTGTTCGTGCCAAAGCTGCTGATCAACCTTGGCGCTGGTCATATATCTATGAAGTATGGGTTCATGGGTCCGAGCCATTCCGCAACGACAGCTTGCACGACTGGTGCCCATTCCATCGGCGATGCAGCCCGGTTCATTGCCTGCGGTGATGCTGATGTGATGGTCGCCGGTGGTGCCGAGTCATGTATCCATCCTTTGGCCATTGGTGGCTTTGGGCGTGCAAGAAGTCTATCGACAGGATTCAACGACGCTCCAGAGAAAGCGTCGCGCCCGTTCGATGCCGACCGTGCAGGATTTGTGGTTGGCGAAGGTGCAGCTGTTATGATTCTAGAGGTATGTATCCTGTCTCTTGTGCGCATACTACCACCTGATACTGATGTCTCAAAATATAGGAGCTAGAACATGCCCTCGCGAGAGGGGCGCGGATCTATGCAGAACTCAAAGGATATGGCTGCTCCAGCGATGCATACCATATGACCTCGCCCAAGGAAAATGGTGAAGGCGCGTTTATGGCTATGAAAAAGGCGCTTAAGCAGGCTCAGTTACGCCCTGCTGCAGTTGACTATGTTAATGCACACGCAACTTCGACTATTGTTGGCGATGCTGCTGAGAACGCTGCTATAAAAGCACTTCTACTTGGCCCCGATGGCAAAGGTAAGGCTGCTGAGGTGAACGTTAGCAGCACAAAGGGTGCCCTCGGCCATCTGCTTGGTGGTGCTGGTGCTATAGAAGCTTTGATCAGTGTACTTGCAATCCACGAGGTGAGTTGCAGCTGTGCACTATACATACTGTGTTAGAGGTTTTATTAACAAGGAACAGAATACTATGCCACCTACTATCAACCTAGACCGCTTGGCTGATGGGTTTGATTGCAACTATGCGCCAAAAGATCCCCAGTCACGACAGATTGATGTTGCCTTGACAAATAGCTTTGGCTTTGGTGGTACCAACAGTAGCCTTTGCTTTGCACAGTATTCATGATCTTTTTTCCAGCATACAATGTACAATATTTCTGTTTCAGCTACAACATAGCTATGTGTTTTTAGGGCCAGAAGCTTGGCAGGTACTGATTCACCCAAAACAATCGCTGCCTGATTCATCTCATCGACCAACGATGTACTATATTAAGAGATATGTTGAAAGAACATCAATACTCCCACCCATTGGTCATTCTCAACAATAAACTGAAAATGTTACGCCCAAATCATAATAGAGGCCAAAATGCCTATTCAACAGATCAATAGATGGCACGTGACCTATCCTAATGCGGAGCCCCAGCCCGACCTTGACTCCGGAGACCGAACTCATTCCTTGATAACCAACCCCACGCCATTTCAAAGGCTTTCCGAGTGACAAGAAAGCGTTCTGTCTCTCGGTACTCTCTCAGTTTGCGCTCACCATGGCGAACAATGGTGACCCCGGTCAAGGTACGCAATACCTGGTTCCTGTCAAAAGCGCAAAACACCTGGAATACTTTGACATCAAGCTCCGCGCATCTAAAGTCTATGAGTGGTCCAAGCTAATTCTATGTTTTTTGACAGGACGGGGAAGTCTGGTTGATGCGTCCGGGTACACCTTCACGGACAAGGATACCAAGCCCGGCAAGATCAAGGTGAAGAAGACATCCAAGGCGTCCACCAAGAAGAAGGCAGATGGTACAGCTCCCTGGACATGCTTCCACGGGCATTGAAGATACTAACAAACACACAGAGGTCAAAGATGGACCCATCGATACCTCCCCTGCCGCATCTCCCCTCCCCACCCTCGACAGCAAAGTCGTCTCCGTGTTCCCGACCGGCAAGCCGCGTGAAGATGACCTCCTCGAAACCGTAATCTGCAAGCATTGCAAGCGACCTACTCTCAAACAAACCGCTGCGGATCATGTCCGCGGCTGCTTGAAGGCCAAGCAGGAGAAGGCGCGCAGGAAGAAGGAAGCCCGCGACGCGGCCAATCGCCTGAAGGCTGGCGACGATAGAGACGATGACGGCCCCGACAAGGCCGACGGAGAAACTCACAACATGGGTCAGAAGAGCGCCAAGAAGAGCGCTACCAAGGGCACCGAGGATGGCAACAGGAAGGGCAAAAAGCGCAAGGCTGACGAGGACGACGGCAAGGAGTCAAAGAAGAAGAAGAAGAAGGACGAGCCCAAGCAAAAGACGGCTAAGCCAAAGGGTCCTGTCGATGTGGAAAAACAGTGTGGTGTTACTCTCCCCAACGGCGCGCAGTGCGCGCGTTCCCTGACCTGCAAGAGCCATTCGATGGGTGCTAAGCGCTCGGTACCTGGCCGCACACTGCCGTATGATATGCTTCTCCAGCAGTATCAGAAAAAGAACCAGGCTCGCCAGCAGAGTAAGTTCACTATCATCTTGTTTAGTATAGATCACGAGATGACTGACCCGTTCGAACTACAGAGGCTGCTATCGATGCCAACGCTCCTCTCCAGGAAGATATCGAGAATAGCGGTCCTATTGACTCGGATGAAGAAAGAGATGCCGTCATGGCCGCCATTGCCCGTTCTGCACCCCAACCCCTCGTTCGTCACCCCATCATCACCACTAAGTCGAAGTACCGATATGTCCGCATCAAGGAGCAGATGTCGCATGCCATGGGAGTTCGGAACGGCGGTGGACTTTTCTCCAACGACGACAGCCAACCCCTTTTCGGTGGCATTCTTTTCTCGACTGTCGCAGCCGATTTGGACTCCTCGTCTGTTGACGCCAATGGAGAAGCTGATGTCTCCACTGGCGGAATAGATGCAGGCAAGAGATCCTCTATTTCAGGTAACCGCAAAACTCCGGTCACTGGGGCCTCTTGATTGACGTCTCGGTCGACTTCCGCATATCAGGCGATGATTTATGACGACTCTCTTTTCGTTTGTGGTTGGGTTTGAGCTTTAACCGGTTGTACTGGATGCTGGCGTTCATGGGTGCAGGAGGGCTACTGACCATCGCACCATTCTTCTTCGATTTCTTCGCATCATTTTATTTCTTCGATTTCCCTGGATAGGCCATGGGTACAGGCTGGTTCTGTCTGCTTTGAAAGGTCACGATATGATACCCCGGCTGGCGTGATATGTACATTTGAAGTTTCGAGAGCAGTTGCAATTGAATACTTTCCACTTTATTGAGTTCTGTCTGGTATGTCTGTAAACATACATACTACATGTAGTCATCTAGGACATTCTAATGAATGCGCTATGCAGGATCACCTAGCTCTATAGCCCAGTGAAGCTATTCAGATTACGTTATATGTGCCTGAGGCATCAGGACAGGCCATTCCGTTCGCCGATCATGCATTGTCTTTGAAACCTAACAGCATGAGCAAAGCGAGCCATACTAATATAACCCTTGGGTGAGCTTCTTTATTCATTCTCTTCAAAGCCACCTGCAGCTGAAAAGCATCTGGTTTATATTGTCGCGATTGCGGGCGAGCGCCCTTCGCATTCGCTATCACTCCACCAAGCTCTCCGAGTCTTATTGACCGCAACTCAACCCCCCCTCTCACCTCTTGAGGAAAGTCTGAGCCTTTCAAACTCATTCTTGAGTTTCTTATACCATTAGCCCTACCCCTCTAAACCTTCGGCCCTTCACAATGGGCCACGCTGTCCCCGATCTAGACGCGATAGGCATCAAAGCCGAGCATGACCTAGCTGATCAGTTTCGCCGCGAAGTCGCCAACCTCCTCGGGCGCAACAATCTCAACTTCCCTGGAGCACAACCAGTCAGCTTCTCGTCGCGACACCTCACCGAGCTGCAACGGGAAGACTACTTTGTCTGCGAAAAGACCGATGGCATCCGCTGCTTGATGTACTTTGCGCGCGGAGATCCCGACTCAGACATGCCAGAGATTCACTACCTGATCGATCGCAAGAACGACTACCGCTATGTACCCGGCCTACACTTCCCCCTACCAAACGATGAAAGTTTCCAGGGATACCACGTCGACACCCTGGTTGACGGCGAGCTTGTCAACGACACTTACGAGGATGGGACCACGCAGTTGAAATATCTGGTATTTGACTGTCTGGTCCTGGACGGACAAAGCTTGATGCACCGTACCCTGGACAAACGGCTGGCGTACTTCAAGGAAAAGGTGCTCAGGCCATACAATGCCATGTACCGCAAATTCCCAGAGGAGAAAAACCACCGCCCCTTCGCAGTCGAGGACAAATCCACACAATTCAGCTACGGCATCGAGATGATGTTCCGCGAAATTATCCCCAAGGTCAAGCGCATCCACGGTAACGATGGTCTCATCTTTACTTGCCGCAGTACTCCGTACCGCATCGGCACCGACGAGCACATCCTCAAATGGAAGCCGCCCCAAGAGAATACCGTTGACTTCCGCATGCGCCTCGAGTTTCCTACTCTCGAGCCAGATACCGAGGACGAGGCTGAGGGTATCACCCAACCCTACGTGGACTACGACGCTATCCCAACCTGCCACCTGTTCGTCATGCTCAATGCTGGCGAGTACCGTCTATTTGGAGAGATGTTCCTTGAGCCGAAGGAATGGGAAGATCTCAAAGCCATGCAGATTCCTCTTGATGATACTATTGTTGAGTGTGCCAAGGATACGGAAGGACGCTGGCGCTTCTATCGTATTCGTGATGACAAGAACGATGCGAACCACATCTCCACTGTTGAAAAGGTTCTTGAGAGTATCGAGGACCGCGTCACTGAAGAAGATCTCATCCGTCTTGCTCCCGTCATCAAAACAGCTTGGAAACAGCGTCAGCAAAACATGGCTGCCGGGGATGAGGAGAAAAAACGGAGAGCCCAGGCTATGCCACCATCGGCGAATCCGAATGGTGTCAAGCGGAAGTTTGAAGGGTGAGGAAGATGTGTGTAGCCTCTTGGTTACATGTGGCTTCTTTCTCAACTTCTCTTCACCTCCGATTCATTGCAAGGCGCTTGGCGTTGGTTTGGGCTTTGTATTTTATCTACAAGATCATGGCATGGCAACATGGAAGGGGATGCAAATCCCGAAAACAGGAGACGGTGTTTATGGCATTATTATTTGGACTGGATCAAGCAATGAAAAAAAAAAATTTAACCTCCCTCTCGTAATCTACTTAAATCTTCAGCAAAAATAGGTGTATAGCAAGTCCTGTATAGATTCGGAATGCCCGATGCGGAACAGCTTACATAACAACCACCCAGTTTGCTCCCTTTCCCGCATCATTTCCCCCATCAAATGACCACAGAATCTGCTCGATTCCATCATTCCCATCTCTGATATTGCTTCAGTCCCTATTGCTAGTCCAACAAGATGGGCGTCCGAGATTCCCACGGGGAGGCGACGGGGACGCCCGACCCCGTTGACAAAGGGTTCGCCACACTCAATACTATCAGGTAGGTCGCTTTTTATGTCTAGAATAATTAGCTTCGGGGTTTTTATGTCTACTTTTATCGGTCGCAAATGCTAACTAGCCTTATAGAATCGGTGTGAAGGCCATGGTGCAAAAGGTTCGTTTTGACCGCGTCGCAGATTTTGGTGATCGTGTCACGTGATTATCAATCACCGTGGTCATCCTCCAACTTGGACTTTGATACTGACTATTCTGTATAGGATGGGGAACTGCGAAAAGCTGAAATTCTGTCCATTCGACAGCGGAAGGATGGCCCCTCCTTTTAGTATGTTTGCTTCCGTTGATATCATGTCTGCTTTTTGAATTGGTACTGATATAGAATCCCAGCGTACACTATGTCGATTTCAACAAGCGTCTTGATGGTAAGTTCTCATTCCAGCAAGTGCACTGACTCGCGTTGAATTTTCTCTGACTTCTCTTTCTAGAATGGGTTGCGGCTGCTCGCATCGATCTCTCTCAAGAAGTTGAGTGGCCCCAGCCAGACAAGGCTGATAAGAAGAAAACTGCTGCTGCCAGCAAAGCAGCGCCTAGCAAGAATGTGGGTGCGAATAAGCGTGCCCGAGCTGACAGCCGTGACTTGTCACAAACACCCGACATATTGTCTGGCAAAAACATGAATGTCGGCAAGATATCACGGCCCTCGAAGGCTGGAGGGAAAGAAAACCTCGGTGCTGATACACCCGGAGGAGACACCTCGTTGTTCCCATCTGAGGCCGTGTCAATAGTCGGCACGCCAAAGGCCACTGAGTCAGAAGACTTCGAGATGGCAGATGCTGCAGCGGAAAGCAAATCAGTAAAAGAAGATCAAGTCCAAACGGCAACAGGTGAGGTTATAACGCGCGGGGAGGAAATCGAGCGACTCCGTACAGGTGGTAGTATGACACAGAACCCGACGGAGATCCATCGCGTGCGAAACTTGACCCGTCTCCAGATGGGCAAGTACGACGTCGAGCCATGGTACTTCTCACCGTACCCGGATTCCTTCTCGGACGTCGACCTTGTCTACATCGACGAGTTTTGTCTGAGCTATTTCGACAATAAGCGTGCATTCGAGCGTCATCGCGCAAAATGCACGCTGACCCACCCACCCGGTAATGAGATCTACCGCGACGACTACATCTCCTTCTTTGAAGTCGACGGCCGTCGCCAGCGTACCTGGTGTCGGAACCTGTGTCTCCTGAGTAAGCTCTTCCTCGACCATAAGACACTTTACTACGATGTCGACCCGTTCCTGTTCTACTGCATGACCACGCGTGATGAGACAGGTTGCCATTTCGTCGGCTACTTCTCCAAGGAGAAGGATTCTGCTGAAGGGTATAACTTGGCGTGTATTATGACTTTGCCACAATACCAGCGTCGCGGCTTCGGTCGTCTGCTCATCTCGTTCAGTTACGAGCTTAGCAAGCGCGAAGGCAAGCTCGGCTCCCCCGAGAAGCCACTCAGTGATCTGGGTCTACTTGGTTATCGACAGTACTGGCGCGAGACGCTGGTGGAGTTACTGATCGAGCCAAACCGGGAAGCTATAAGCGAGAACGAGCTTGCGGTGCTCACTTCCATGACTGAGAAGGATGTTCACGAGACTCTGGTTGTATTCAACATGCTCCGATACCACGTAAGTTTGATTTTCCACGTGTGCACTGCAATGCAGCACATACAATACCGTGCAATTTACTAACTCTCTTTGCAGAAGGGTAATTGGGTCATTGTACTCACGGATCACGTCGTGGAAGAACACGAAAAACGTCTCAAGAAGGAGGAGATCAAGGGGGCGCGCAAAATCGATCCTGCCCGTCTTCAGTGGAAGCCTCCTGTCTTTGCTGCTTCCAGCCGGACCTGGAATTGGTGAGAGGGGGACTTTTGTGCTTACTTTCCTTTTGTTAAATTTCCTGCGAGCTGATTTAAATATGCGTGGTTATCTAATGGATATTAGGGCTTGGTTTCGGGGCGTTACACGGACGTCGAAACAATGTTCATCTTCGGACTTGTGGTATCACAGATGCCACCATGTCTATTGATTCGGTTGTTTTGGCATTGCAGATGATCGGGGCGGCGTATTCGAGGGACAAGGCGTTTTTTTTTTTCTTGAGCCTTGTGAGGGCTTTCCTCGGTTGATACCTATCATTTGTGTAAATTATTTGACTCTCTTCTACTTATTTTGAACCTTTTTTTTTAATTAAAAACCTTTCATTACTCGAATATCAAATCATCAAGATCATATCTCCATTCCTGCTGCATGCTTCATATATATCCCTGGCAAAGTGGACGAAAGCTCCCGGGAACAAGAGATCTCCCAGGGCCAAGATGTAGGTGCCTAGCAATTCTGATGTCCTAAGAGATTCTCATTGGGCACTCTGTGGAAATAGTACATTGACGGGATATACACGTGATTCGGGGGGTGAAGGCACACTACAGCAAGACAGGCTTCTTTACCTATGTTAGGAGCTGGAGACTACATCTACACTGATCAAAGATGAAATTGTGTAACAATGGAATTCTCTTCGTAAGTATCGGTGCGGATTTGCTTGATACTCGGCAACATGAGGCAATGTGATACTGCTAGGTCGGGACAAGCATGCACCACTCGGGAAATGACCGCGCAAACAGGACGTTTAATCGGCAGACGATGGTCATCCACACATAGAAAGCCAAAAGAAAGGCCGCAGTCCTAATTGAGTCGGGGGAGGGGACACAATAGGCGAGAAATTGAAAATCACAAGTACATGAGAAACGCAAATGCGTGAAGGGGGGTAGAGGAAGGATCTGAATGGTGAGCCCAGCTCCAGAAAAGAGTACCGGGTTGGGCGGCAACAAGAGTCGGAAACAAATGTTGATTAGGAGTTGGCGAGAATGACCCCCAGGTTCTCGCCTCCGAGACAATATGAACCAGAAAGAAGATGCCGGAAACGCTTGAAGATAAACCATATGATTGCAAGACCGAAACTTCTTAACGAGAAGTGGGCGGTTCTGGGCTCCAGCCCGACCGCTGACGGGGTTGCTGTCGTGGGACGGTGTTAGAGGTAGGCTTCTTGTTGCCATTACCAGAAACTTCGCCAGACTTGTTGATTCCCTTGCGGGGTCGGATATTGGTGTTAGAATTGCGGCCTCGAGGCGGGCCAGACTTGCGTTGGATGAGCACGACTTTGGGCTCAGAGCCGCCTGGAAGTAGAATCGAAGCGCGAATATTCCCATGATTGTCCCGATCGTTATGACCAACCAGGAACGGCTGAATGGTCTGCGCTTGGACCGGCTTGAAGTTCTTTCCACGGGTTCGCTCTGATGGACGAGTTGCGCTCCAAGAATTTTGGGGCGCCATATTCGGCACACGAACGGCAGGCAGCGAACCCGGTTCACGGTCTTCAAACATCTCATCCTGTTCATTGACTTGTCGAACAGCGAAATCGCCATCGCCAGCCTGTGAGCTGATCTTGATCTGCGGAATAGAAACAGATACGGCAGTAGCATGAACAGGAAGAGGTTCCTTGGTAGCTGATGTCACAGCTAGGACACTCTTCTTCTGCGTAGGGGTGGTCTTGCCGAAAAGTCCATTGATCTTGTCCTGCCACGACAGCGCTGTGGAAGGAGGCACCACGTTACGCGGTGGCGCAGCTGCCATAGAAGCAAATGTTGGCGGGGGGACGGGAGCACCAATGGCCTTTGGGGGTAGCTTAACAACGGGCTTCGGAGGCTTAGGGGCTGGAAGATTAACGTGGGGTCGCTTCGCGTCTCCGTAGTAGGCAGGGTGGCTAACTTCCTCGGGAGGAGGAGGCGAAGGACTGCTGCGCTCCTTCTCAGCGACCTGGCGCTTCGACTGTTCAGATGCCGGGGGAAGAACCGGGAGCTCCTAGTAGAAACGTTACCAGCTGGGCGAACGCCGATGTCAGACACATTGAGACTGTCCATGGGGGTATCGAGAGTCGTAAGAGGGTTGGATTGCTGGTTGACGGCCGCCTTGGCTTTCGCGATGTCGTCCTCATTATTTACCACTCTTTCGGTGACCCGGGTGACGACTCGTCTGCCATCTTCAGTGGCACGGGTCTTCTTCCAAGTCTCAGTGAAAACCACGGGCGCAGGTGGAGGGGCTGAGGCTCCCTTCTGTCTTTCATTAAGTCGCTTTAGGAACTCCTTGGCGTTCTGAGATTCCTTCTCCAAGGCGTTCTCGTGGAAGTTATTCCAGTCGTTGATGGCACGAGCATTCCGTGTGCTCGGCGGTCCGATTGGGCTAGGGCGTCCAATTGGATTGAGGGGTTCAAATGAGGGGTGACGTGCCTCAGGTGATGGCAAAGAATCAGTTGTCTCCTTAGGAGCAGAGAACTTGGGAGGGGCAGGCATATTTGATGAATCTAAGCCGAGTTGGCCTAGAGGGTTTTCACGTGATGTAAAAGTCCCTAAGGGTTGGTCAAAGATGCCGTTACCGAGAGTTGGGGTGCGGTCACTGCCAAACGGTTTCCACAGATTTTTCGCGGATGTAGATGGCACAGCAATATTAGGATGAGACCAAGGCGAAGTAGAAGTTAAATTGCCTTGCCACTGAGTACCGTGCTCATCGAGCTTTGGATCAGATGCCTTGCTCTGGACAGGTGAGTGAGGTTCAGGTTTGAGGTGTGAGGTAGATGAAGGCGCAGAGTCACGATGGGGTTCTCGGTGGGGTGATGAGACACGTCGGTTGAGATGTTTGCTCTCAGATGTCCGGTCATGCGCACCAACGAGTTTCTTGACAGAGTCGGGATGATGCACTTTCATCATACCATACTGTTTTGGTTCCCTATTGGGTTCTGGAACAGGAGGTTTGGGTGGTGAAGAAATAGAGTGGATGGGTTGGATAGGAATTTGGGAAGGGGTGGGAGGAGGATGAAGAGGGTTGGAGTGAGGTTGGGGTTGGGTTTGAGGTTGAAGAGAGGGGGGTTGCGCGTTTCGGGAGCTTTCTTCTCTGGCGCAGGACCCATTGCGGCGAGACGTTGCCTAATCCTCTCCTTTTTAGCCGCCTCCTCTTTCTCCTCCTGCTCAATTCTTCGTTGCCGCGCCTCTAGACGTTTCTCCTTCATAATCCGCTCTTGCAGAGCAACAGGGTCCTCCTGAGGTTCTTGCGAAACTTGAGGGGCCTGAGGAACCGCTGGCTGTGTTTCCACGGGAGACATACCTACCTCGACAGCTGGACGAGCTGTACCATTTGGACCAGACGGAGCAGTCTCGTCTTTGCCATGGTGCTGCTCGTGGCCCATTATTGCTGAATCACCCAGGCCATTCACTTGAGAGCCTCTTCGAGCATCATTGTATCTCGGAGGGGGATCAAATCGGCCAGCTGACATCCTACGGCCAAATCCTCCGCTTCCTCCGCTCACGTTTGATGATGTGCGACGACGGCCACCCCAGCCCATGCCATCCTGATGGCTAGACCTGTGCGTCTGGAATGCAGCAGATGGCTCTGCTGGTCCACTTGGATGGTCGTTTGGTCTTTGCAAAACCGCAGGAGCACGGGGGTGTTGGTCATGACGCCAGGATCCTCTCCTGGTTTCTGCTACCGGCTCGTACTGGGAAGATCGAGGATTGAAAAGCTGAGGCAAATCTGACTGATCTTTCCATGCACGGTTGAAATCATCAGCTGCAATCTCCTTGGGTGGTGCCATTGGGGCATGATGGCCGTCGTCTCTCTGGGGGTACCTCGCGGGCATACGCTGTGGGTGAGGCTGAACCGGGGCATTCACTGGAGACACTCTTTCGACAGGAGGCAGAGCGGCCCAAGGAGACTTGGATGGCGGTGCTGGACTTGTAGAGCTAGATGGAACTTTGTCATTTGTGCCGTTAGAAGAAGCACTCGCAGTTCTCGCTTGTCGTTCAGCGTTCGCTCCAACCTTGAGCACCATAGCCCGAGGTCCCATTGATATAGCCGGCTTCGGCGCAACCTTGACAGGCTCCTTCACAATGCTCGGCTCTACGGGCGGTAGCTCTTTCTCTTTAGGCTCCCGATGACTAGGAGCCGGCGGGGGTTCAGTGTGAGGTTGAGTAAGATTAACCTTAGTTCCATCTGTCCACTCAATCGTCTCAGGGGCCCAATCATCTTCATCGTCATCAATATCCGCCCACTTTGCTTCGGAGCTAACTGCCCCATCTTCTTGGATACGAGAAGTCATATGAATTCCGTATTGTTGTTTCAATTCTTCGTCGGTCAAGTGTTTCGGAGGAGCGGGCACAACAGCTATACAGATATCAGAGTCAGTTTAAGTGATTCCACTGTAAAGAATGACCTATACATACGTCTGTTCTTATTCCACACCTGATTTGGATCAGGCCCTGATCCACCAGGCTTGCCTCCACCTGCTCCGGTCTTCGAAAACGAATCACGCATCCCGAGTGTAGTCTTCGCAACCAAGCGCGGTCGAGAGCTTGGCTGTGGGGTGCCGAGTGGTGTTGTAGAGGTTGGCGCTAAACAGGTTAGAACCAACTATCATGAATGTTTGACAGAGAACATACCTTTTTCGGGCACCTTGGGCGGTGCTGGAGCCCCCGGGACCTTGTTTACCGAAAACTTAGCAAATGAGACTGGCTTGAATCCTGCGGATTTTTTGACTGAACCACTGCTAGTTGGATTCCTGCCTTCTGATCGGCTCGCATCCGACTCCGAACCACCTTGTGATGCTGTGTCTTCTCCGCCATCCGATGCCGAGGCCAATCCATTAAGTTCAAGAACTCGAGTCGCAACAATTCCGGCGCCCTGCCTAGAATTATCCTGCGTCCATATTAGCAAGTGCCTTGGAGCGCATCCAGAAGCAATGCTCACCGTCGTTGGGCCTCCAGCGTCCTTGTCACCGGCGGCTTTTTCTCCCCGCGAGTCAAGAGTGTTCGTTTTCTCATGGCTTTGCTGATCATTCAAGTTTGAGTTATTCGATGTAGTGGTCATTGCGATATGTTCGGTCTTCCCTGCGTCCCCTCCAGCAGATAGATTGTCGTTGGTGCTCGCAGGAACGTCGGAAGGCGAAGACTCGCCGCCCGACAGGGTCTGATCTACCACATCGCGGTTGATCTGCTCTGCCATAACAATACTTGATTCTGTTCCATACAATAATTGCGACGATGTAAGCCAAGTGCCCTGACAGTGGGGAGATAGTTCCGGGGACGTAATAGGTAGTTGCAGATCGAACATGCCAGATTCCAAAGAAGACATACCTATCGTCAGATACCAAGGATCGCCACAGTTGCACTGGTCCCTTGACTGGTTGCACCCTGAATATATGGGATATCACAACCAGCGATAGTATCGAGCAACTCTCTCGGATGTTGATGAGAAAGCCCGTGTGAGGTTGGGCTCGATGTGGAGCGAACGATCGCGGAATCGATAGGCGCGTGTGTCTTGGGAAATCCGCAGCCCAAGTGGTCCCAGGATGGGAGTAGGGCAAAGAGGGAGGGAGTATGCGTAAGGACGGTTGATGATACAAAGATAGGGAGGATGATACGGGATTCAAGAGTCAACTCGGGTTGAAGCTGAGGGTCGCTGCTTTCGGTTTAGCGTGGCCCGTACGAAAGTTGTAAAGTCTGCCCACACACCTTGAGATCTCACTTCGAAAGCGCTGGTCTTTTAATATTTTGATCAGTTTAGACGATGATTTCGTTGGGTGCTGTCGTCACTTGTAAATAGTAAATTGTCCGGACGTTGTTGATTTTGGTGTGAAGTTTGTACGTGATGAAAAACTATGGAAAGAGCCCGTCACTCAAGCTTCTATGTTATGTGTTATACTTCCAAATCTACAACTACGACAGAATGACAAAGTATAGTAAATCTGAATATTGAAACACAGTGAGATTCTAAGACTCTCGCTAAAACCACAGTTTTCCCTTGCACTAGGACAGAGGATCCAGTATATACATCAATCCTCCACCTATTTGATTGAAAAGAAAAGCTTAGTGGGGGTGGTTCTTGTGGTGACCTAGTCAAAAATGAAATAAAGTCAGTGATGTCCCAGCTATAAAGAGGGTACATAAGCAGTGTAATAGCCGGAAAACACATACGCAGGTGGAAGTAGTACTCCATGCTGTAACCCAGGATCAGGATACCGCCAATAGCGTGGATAAGGGCTGGATCACAATTAGTACCTGTATCGATACAAGGGGACAGGTGAAGAATACGTACGAACACCGGAGGCGTTCTTGCCGTTGAAGTAGCGGGCCTGGTAGCGACCGATGAGGCCGGTAGGCTTCACGGGAGCGGCAGGGCCACGGGGAAGGCCAGCGTAGAAGGTCACAACACGCTCCATGCGGGCGGCATCCTGGGCGGCACCGATGGCCTGAATTGATAGTATGTCAGTTATGAAGGCGGAAGACAACATTTTAATCAAATCGCGGGCTTCACGAAAAAGGCTTCGGGGCGGGACGGGTGCGGAAGGGATGCACTCGGTCAAAGATGGCAGCGCGTGGGTAACTCACGTTAGGGGAGGCGACCTAGAGGAACAATTAGCATTATTTCAGGAGTCGGAGGAGTACAAATAGTCATCAATGGGGGGCTGCTCTTACCTTGGGGGGGGATCAAGGTCGAGAGACCTCGGCGGGCAATGTAGCTCATCTTGTCTAGGCTGAATGGGGTCAGAAATTGGTCGCACTAAATAAAGCGACTCTCAATGAGCATTCGTAGGGTGGTAGATACGTGGACTTACGTTGATTCGCGACGCAAGTGAACCAAAGAAAGCTGATGGAGGAGGAAGGAGGAACAAACCGAGCCCTGCGGGTGTTCGGCTTGCCAAGCCCGGCTAAACCCGATTCGGTGGTGTCGTGACCTGCCTGTAATTCGCAACCAAACCACAATTGAAGGGAGTCCTCACTGGCAACGACCATTTCCCGCATCCAAAAAGACACAATGTCGCTCTTCAGAATCAGGGGTGCTGCTGGCCTTCGGGTCAGCCGACTTTCTGCGCCTGTCAATGCCCGTTTCCTCTCGAACGCCCCCAAGGGAGTTCCTTCCGTGAAGACCACCACTGCGGATGCTCCCACCACGCCTCCCAAGGACAGCTCCCTGATCACCAAGGAGACCCCCTCCGAGGCTATGGCCCGTCACCAGCCGGATTATGAGGCCACCATTGACCACGGCACCTCGTACGACATCCCCCTCTGGTTCCGTCGCAGATCTTTTCACTAACCCTTCGGCTTCAATTAAGGCAATTTTCCCCAGTGCCCAAGCGTGTGATGGATGGTAGCGAGCCAGGCGACACTCTCCCCGCGGCCGTCCTCTCCGGAGCCCCTACCGATCTCCAGGCCCGCAATGTCCGGTACGTTAGACAAATTTCGAGCAGTATCACCTAGCTCTCACACACTAACCCATGACTCTCACAGTATCTACCGCCCTACCAAGGCCGCAACACAGTCCGGTACCTGGCACCAGCACCACTGGCGCATGGATTGGGATATCTTGCAGCGGGGCCACCGCTGGGAGAACTCCCTCATGGGCTGGCAATCGTCTGCCGATAGCATGCAAGGCACCAACTTGAAGTTCAAGTCGAAGGAAGACGCTATCGCTTTCGCCCAGAAGCAAGGTTACGAATACTTTGTCCAGGAGCCGAACGAGCGTCGCTTCGTGCCCAAGTCCTATGCCAACAACTTCGTCCACGAGCCCAAGAAGCTCAGACATATCAAGACCAAATGATCTGACTTCGCGCTGTATTATGTACATATTTGCCAGTTTACCACTCGAACTCAATTTCAAGCACTTCCAAATGTCGCGTTCCAATATAGGTTATCTCTAGACTTCATGAGTTAGGGCTAGCAACTACGAGTCAACTCCTATTTAACAACCAGGAGCAGAGGGGAATCATGTCAACTCTACATCTGTGCGGTGACATAGTATTATTATTTTTTAAAAGGTCTGCAGATTTATATTCCTCGTGTGGCATTATTTATAAAATTCATGTTCAAATTAATGTGTTCGCATTCAATGTAACTACGGCATCATGGCCCTCTTTGCTAATTCCAAGGCAGTATGCTCATTATATCAATTACACAGCATCTTCAAACTTCGTTTAAATAACATGGTCTCTGTGAGGGTATAAACAAAGACTGGGAAATCTTTAGATGTGCAATATAAGACTACAATCAAGAAATCGAGTTCCAGACCAATGGCATTGTACTGTGAGATGAGCATAGATGGGTGAGGGTCTACTGGGCATAACGCGACATCATTACTTGGTTTGTTCAATATTTAATTTTAGTTTATGGCATTGAACAAAAGTTGCCTAGGGAATTCTGTCAACCAATGCTTGTGGCTCCAACCGCCCGATATTGCTCGAAACAGCTATGCTCGGATCTCGATGTGCTTTTTATAGAATCATACAACCACTGAGTTCATTGCATCAGCATGGTTCGACAAGCAACAATTGCTAAAGGCTATAAAATAGGGCTAGTTTTAGTTACGTGGTATTCTGAGCTGACCCATTTGAGCTTCTATTTCGATATGGACTACCAAGTATATATTTTGGGACATCTAGATGTCTCGCGGTATGTATATAACAAGCGTGAGGGCATATGTTTAGTTTTTAGTCAATTTTTATCTTAAAGCCTAAGGGTCTCACTAGATACACAAGAAAAACTAGGTTAACGTTAGTTATATATACTCCAAGATCAGCGCTCCCATCTATGAGACCCCACATACTCGACCCTTAAACTCACAACAATACATGATTATTTAAATGTAAGGGTATTTAAACCCGCAATTATCAATAAATTATGGCTTGGGCTTACGCCGGAAGCATGGAAGACAATAACGTACGAGCAAAAAAACCCCTGCGTAACTAAAGCCTGAATGGGCCCCGCCACCCCCCACTCTAAAAATTGATAAGATCAAAAAGATTAACAACTTTTCTTTTTCACCTCTATACTCCCCTGTCCAACTACACCCCTTAAAATGGCCTCTGAAACCGATAATACCGTTCCTACTCTCCGCAAGGTGCTGGTCTCCGAATCTGAGCCGCTTGCTCGCCGCTTCCGCGCTCTTTTCTCCCTTAAGCACTTGGCCTGTCTACAGCCCACCACAGACCAGACCCTCCCCGCCATCGAAGCGATCGCCGCGGGTTTCGCGTCGCCCTCAGCTCTGCTCAAGCATGAGCTTGCCTACTGCCTCGGCCAAACTAAAAACTTCGAATCCGTCGCATACCTGCAGCATGTAGTGAAGGATACCGAGGAGGATGCGATGTGTCGCCATGAGGCCGCCGAGGCGCTGGGCGCTCTTGGATACGCGGATAGCTTGGACATCCTCAAGAGACTGAGGGATGATACAAATGAACTAGATATCATTCGCGAGACCTGCGACATCGCCGTGGATCGAATTCAGTGGGAGAACTCAGAAGAGCGCAAGGCTGAGAAATTGAAGCCTAGGTACGATCTGCGCAGGAGATTATTTACCATGAAGAGAAATGCTGACATTGAGATCTTCTGATTTACAGTGATTTCAGTTCTATCGACCCTGCCCCGCCTATGCCCCTAGAGGCCAGCGCTGAACCTTGCATCCCAGACCTGGAAAAAACACTGCTTGACACAAAGCTCCCTCTGTTCCAAAGATACCGTGCGATGTTCGGTCTGCGCGACCTTGCTTCGCCCCCAGATCTTCCCACAGCAGTCGACGCCATCAATGCGTTGGCCAAGGGCCTCAAGGACCCCTCTGCTCTCTTCCGTCACGAGGTTGCCTTTGTGTTCGGACAACTCTGCCACCCTGCCTCAATCCCCAGTCTCACAGCCTCGCTGAGTGACCTGTCGGAAGTAGGAATGGTGCGACACGAAGCGGCTGAGGCCCTCGGCAGCTTGGGCGAGGAGGATGGTGTAGAGGAGACCTTGAAGAAATTCTTGAATGACCCCGATCAGGTGGTCAGGGACAGTGTCATCGTTGCTCTTGACATGGCAGAGTTCGAGAAGAATGGCGAAACCCAATACGCGCTGATCCCGGATAGCGCTGCACCCGTTGCTGCATGATGGATGTCTTGCAAAAAAAAAAAGAAAATTGTCTCGTGACGGTCGTGATTTTAATACTCTTGTCCCGCTAGTTATACAGCCTTTCTCCAAAAATAGACTTTTCCCCACATCTTTTGTACAATCTGTGATTCCAAGATTAATTGTTGGAGGTTTCCCTGTAAAAGCAATTAGTAATTGTCGGGCAGGCATAATTATGTGCTTTCGAGGTGGGTGGGCATACTTGAATCCGCAGACACATCTGTAGAACACGGTACTTCCTTCATCGGCACTGCGCAGTTGCACTGTAGTGTAGAACATTTCCTTCCTCCCGCATTCGTTACATGTACGATCGATGATAGCCTCAGTCTTCCGGTCCTCTGCTGACAGGGTCTGGACTGCCGATCGTTTGGCTCTCAGTGCTGAGGGGAATGCGGAGGGCTTGGACTCGGACACGATTGTTTGGGGGATTGTATCTGCAAATTGAAGGTTAGAGAGGAATCTTCTAGTAGCCTGGTAAGAAATGAGAAAGGCTTGTATTCACTCACCTTTATTCCGAGTGCCGCAGACATCACAGTGCAGAATCGCATCCGCATTGCCGGTAGATTCTCGTAGGAGATTACCACAATCCGTGCAGAAAATTAAGGAACCGATGACAGACATGTTGATAGAGTGTAAAATGAACTTGAGGGTCTGAAAGCTGCAGAAGACCAACGGTGTAAGCAGAGTGACAACGAATCGGACCTTATGCAGCGAATAATCTATGCAACTTTTTTTTGACGCACGAGCCTCTAGATAAGCGGTCACAGGCGGCAGTAGGGGTGCCGTCACCCATACGGAATTCATGAACGCATTTGATCGTAGCTCAGTTCATTTTCTTTCAGATTCTGGTCTTTTCATTACTTAAATGATCTAGGGATGTCATAAGGCGCCTGCCTTCTTTGCCATGTCTCTACCAAGAGCATGTCAAACTTATGACTCGCGCCTACTTCTTTTGACTTAACCTTGACCATGGACCATAATGGACAACCCGCCGTGCAGGTGGTCATCAACGGCCATGATCAGATGCCACCATATGGCTCCAATATGCAGTTTCAGAATCAAAGGCCGCTATCTGTGGATGAAGCACTCCAGTACTCATCCATGTCCAGCGCGCCTGTCTTTGGTCTCGGTTCGTTTGTTCTCTTTATCTCTGCTGTTCTACCCAATTTACTAATGGCTTGTATGCACAGATTGTATCCTACGCCCCGATGTTGGTCGACCTTCAAATACCACTTCTATAAACCATGTCCTCCAAGAAGGCCGCAAAACACTGGGTGAACTTGACGCGGAAATGCAATCTGGACATGATGATTCTAGTCGCTTAGAAACGTCTCGAGAATATATTCAACAGTTGCTGGATGGAGACCAGCTGACAGAATTGTAAGGAAACTTCAAGTCTTTCAAGCGCAGTTAACTAATTTGGATTTCATAGCAAATTCAAGCTTCCTCGGGTTCCTTCGCGAAGTCAACAGCTGCGCCCAAATGATCCTGATGATGCTACTTCCGGTCGCAATAGCCTCGGTTCCTTCGCACGGATGATGCTTAACTCTACAGACATTGCATTCAGATGTAAGCCCTAAGATACCACAGAAGTCTGTACATAGTTAATTGACTGACCGACCACAGATCCCGAAGCACCCCCAAAGACAAAGCCCGAAAATAAAGACCTCATCCCGAAGACGACTACTTCCTTGAACCAGCGCGCATATGCTGCGAACAAATCGAACTCGGTGTCTTTCTCGGCCTCTGTTGAGCAGAATCGCCCTCCTTCATCGAGCCAACTATCCGTCGTTATTCCAATCAAAACCGTGCCTCAACATAGCGATTACGCAAATGCGCAGAAGCTTCAATTAAAACCCCATGGCCAAGAAGCTATGGCGGCGGTGCGACTCAAGGACCAAAAAGAGGAAGCAGATGCAGCTTTGCAAAAGCTCCAAGATCTCCTTCACGAGGTTTTTGAAGCAGAAGACCAGATTGAACCCGACACTTCGACTCCCCCAACTTCTGACATACCGAACCCCATTTTCGTAGCCCCAACATCTCTAGAGGTGCATGGGTTGATACTATCATCTGATACTCATACTCGCCTCCAGAAAGCGTTTCGGAAAGTTGCAGGGTTTGACCGACTCCAGGACATACCGTCTGATTATCTCAACCGTATTCAAAAAATGTGCGAAAAGCCAATCATTGCTGCACAGTCTCTCGACATAGGTTTGGGCGATTCACCCAGTGAGCTTGAGTCCCAGGAGTGGCTGAGTAAGATCGAGGATGATTTGAATGCACTATTTGCAATCGGAACGCTACTGCAGACGATGTCTGGGCGTCAGACTGAGCGAGATCTTTGTCCAGAAGATCTAATCGAGGCCATTCCCACCGTTCTCAATCAACTATTTGATCATTGCATTATTCCCGCAGTGGAATCGCGTCCCGGTGGTAAAGACGGCCAGCATTTTCACTTCTTCTCGGCCCAGAAGCGGATCATTGGCACTCTTGTTCACCAGAGCAAGAAAGTTCTCACTCTTTTTGCAGACTTTTTGTCTCGCATCGATGTCTCTGAAGGGACGATCACTGCCGCGGAATTCTTTGCTGCAAAGCTAATATTTGTGGAAAATGCACACAATGACAAAGACTCCGCTTTAGGGTATCAGAAGTATGAGCCTGCGAGAC